TAAAACACACATAAACACACACACACACACACACACAATCAACATAAAAGATAATTATCCAAATTATTCTAAATCTATTCAAGCCGATACAGTTTCGTTTTTCAGTCGTGAATATGCATATGACGTCTTCCTGACTTGGCGTTTGTTAATGTGAGACATTTTGACAAGAAAGAATTGAGGCTGTGGGGATGTTGGGCATGTGATGGACGAAAGGTCAATCCGTTTTCACACGAAACCAAGGAGGTGATCTCGTGGACTGCATCAACCTGAGCCGAAAACGACTGCAAAACAGCCATAAACAAGCGTCATCTTCTCGTGAGATCGACTGCAAATGTACACTTTCAACGCAAAATTACATTTGCCCCACAGCAACAATGCAAAACCGTGAACGTGATTCGCTTCAGCTACTCGTTCACTTACCGACCACAGCCACTTTGTCCATGCTCGTGTTCAGTTTGAAGCACATGTGACCAAGCACCGAGAATACAACAAAGCCGGCGAGGAAACTGGTCGCACAGTTGATCAGGCTTGTGATCATAGCGTCCCTGAGAAGGAGGAAAAGATACAATCGACGATAGAATGTTTACAATGAGTGCATAGATAGACGTTTTGAGTATACTTTTGTAGTTTTAAGTAGGCTTCCAGCATGTCCAGCGGAACTGTTGCCCAGAAGATTATTGTTCCGAGTGGGAAATTCCAACGAGTCGCGTGGAGGCGACATTTCGCGAAACGGTCTTATACCACATTTATAATTGGATTTCCGATAAGGCATACTTCTACTTTTAGCTTATAAGTAGTCTGTCTAAACTATTAGTAAATTAGGGATATAAGATGTAATTGTTGAGCTTACTTCTATTTCGAGTGAAAGTGTTGCGTGAAGAGATTCGAACGTCTGTTCCACCAGATACGGACACATTTACATGCATCGAAGTTGAGAAATGAGCGTAACTAACCAAATCACTTTATACTTGATAAAGATGTAGAGTATATATTCCACTTTTTAGGGATTTCTGATGAGTTTTCTTGACACTTTAGCTTGAATTTTGTTGTGACGATGATACTCTTCTTGCTTTGATGGTGTTCGTCATGCGATGGACGAAAACTTGGCACCTT